ATGGGACCTTAAATTAGCACAAAAGAATTTTAAATCATGCACAAACATAACAGCTTGATAGCTTGATTGACATAGTGATGCAGTCTTTGGATTCAATGCAATTTTTTTTATTGTATAATTAATCATATGTTTTTTAACAAAACAAACATGACTTACTATTTAATCATTTCCTTTGTTTCCTTGTATGCGAATGCCTCCATCCATCAAATATTCATTGGTCATGATTATTATGCGATACATTTGATGTTGTCATTGACATAACAAACAATTGCATCATCCAGGTAGTAATGATACCAAGGCCATGCATGAATGAAACTTTTAATAATGTGTCAACCCAGATCTCTGGGATTCATGAAATAAATTATTATTATCAATTATGGTTCCTTATAATAAATCTGATGTTGATCATGGGTGTCAGATTTAATAAAATTTTCCTGTCACAAACATGCAAGCGCCGTGCAAAGCATCAATTCAGCACCATGGATTTTATTCCACAAGTGAAAGTGACTTGAACAAGTTGGAAGGCTTTGGACAAAACTTTTCCCTATCTTCCTCCCAGGTCAGGCTTTGCTGTCACCATATGGGCATTGATCATTGATGAATATCAGCATTTGTGTGATGCTTGCATTGTGTTATACTTCTCTAGTACAAATTTGGTGTCTGCAATTGGTTCAAAATTCTCCAACTCAGGAGGTTGCAACCTGGGTAATTATTTTGGTTTTTTCCCTGGATTTAGAGTTTTGAGTCTTGGGTTGCTGTCTTGTCAGTGGCACACCTACTCACCAACAACCTTACCCCATTTATTTAAATAATAAGTTCAGTTGGTCAAATAAAAATTAAAGAGAAACAGAGTATTTATGAAAATGATTAATTTAAACAAAACATACCAAACAAAATCCGAACCATTTTTATGACTTTTTTCTTGCTGGCCAAAGATTTATATAATCATGCAATAATTTAATCTATACAACAGAGTACTGATTGGGCAAAAACCCAGTCCCCTACCCAAAATTATAAATTGGTTAGTATCAAAAAAACAGAGCATTTAGGAAAATGATTATACAAAACAAACACTATTTTACAACTTTCCTCTTAACATCAGAGTCCAAATGCAATTTCAGGGCCAAAAGCCCTGCTCTAGGTTGTAATTGGAATGAGTTGCAGATTCTCATTGCTTTGATGATCTGGATGTTTATGCACACCTAATATCACAACTCTTCAAAATGCTGCAGAGTTGCAACTTGGACACAGTGCCAGCCTTACCCTAGAGTAGGATCGTTACAGGCAACTTTTCATTCAGCATGCCAGCAGTCTTCTCTAGTCTGGTGCTGTGAGGAAAGATTAGTGAAAACATCATTGACTATTGATGCAGTCTTGATAACTCCAGGGCCATGCGCCCCCCCCCCTGGAATTTAACCATCATCATATCATCATGGAAATCTTGGTCCGATTAGCCTTATGTACACGAGGAACGTGTGAGAATGACTGTAAAGGTAGCATGCATGCTTCAACATCTATAAAATTTCCGATAATCAAATGTCGCATATTTGAATTGTTTCTTTTCAACAGTGTATTTCCTTGACATCTTCTTGTAATTATATATTAATAATAGTATTATTATTACGATTACGCAAAGCAAAATACCAATTATTTATTATCATCTTGATAAGAATATTATAATTACCCAGCAAGATCTGCTCCACGTTTTGATTCCAATTAAAATATTTATAAACTAAAATAAAAATATCAACCAATACAAATAAAAAAAAGTACCTCTGGTTAGTTATTAACACGTTTTCTTTAGGAGACCAAAACCAAACAACAACACCCACGTTTTGTCACCTTGGATTCTGTCAAAAAATAAATTGTTTTTTTGTTTTTCCAAAAAAAAAAAAAAAAAAAAAAAAAAATTCGCGTCTGTCTTCCCAATAGGATAAATAATTAATGTGTACGCGTCGATCAAATTAGGGCTTCTATTTCGAATAAGGTTTACAGTTGGCGCTCGATATAGTGAATCTACTGTATAGTGAATCATACGATATAGTAAAGATGGCAAATTCATTATATATAAATTCAGCTCAATATAATGATTTTTAATATAAACTCTCGATATAACTATAGTGAAGTTTTACTTGTACCGTTATATTTAAATAGAGCTTAATTCGTGATTCTTTTAAGAATGAGTGAATTTTAATTAGTGATCGGCGGGGCGCATTTGTAGCATTTTATATAGTAAAAATCATCCAGTTCGCCTTACGTTTCCACTTGCATTTTGCAAAACAAACATTTGGATATCAATAAACAGACTGTTATGAATATTTTTTTTGTTCAAGCCATTTTTGCACTATTTCAATCTTGATTGGAGATTATGGGTATAAAATCAACATAATACAAAATAATGGTTGTCCAATTCTTTCTCAGCTGATTCTTTTTTATGTTCTCTACTAAAACGTGTTACTCATTTGCATCCAACTTACCTGCTTCTACTCTTTGTTTTAGATCTGTAAGCATTTCTTATCTACATTTCTGACAAAAAATAGGCTTTTAGAAGTTGTTTTACTTGTTCAGACATGCGTCTACTTCTGCTATGCTTTCCAAAAATTGTTTTTCAAAGAGAGCCCAACCCAGTTCAAAGTAATTCCTTTTAAAATTAAAAATTTTAATTTAACATCTAGAAAGTATTTATTATATTAATTTTTTTCTCTATAATGGACCATTTGGTTTAGGAAAAAATGTCTGTTATAGACAATAATATTAATAATAATTTATATATGTACATATAAATTGGGCTTAAGTTTTCAATACATTATAGAGAGTGGACTGTAGAGAGAACCTGTTATAGACATGTAAATTGGGCTTTCCTATAGCACCGAACGGTTCGGTTTCAGTTCGGTTCGGTTTCGGTTTGGTTTCGGTTTTTAAATTATTATTGAACACAAAAAAAAAAATTTTTTTTCCGATAATAAATAAAATATATATATTAATATGTACTAGTTATTGTACGGGTGTTTAAAAATATCGTGCAAGCTATGACGCAGTCATAGCTTATACGAATTTTTAAATATCCATACAATAACGTT